AGTTAGCAAGCTGTACAATTTGATTAACCATACGGCGATGGTTGAAAACTTCACAACAGACATTTCTGGAAATATCTGGATTAATTTCTAGCAAAAAGAAGAGTTTAAAGATAGAAAATGAAGTTTATCTTGAGAGAGATGGGTGAGGGAATTTGTCTGTTATAACCAGAACAGCACGCTCCTTCTAGACCAGCTTAACCCACGGTACACTTTGGTTGAGATCGACTCTTTACCTTGCAGATGATAGTTTCAGCGTTGGTGTAGAGCTTTCCTTTCAACTCTTCCAGCGTCTCCGTAAGAACAGCTAAACCTCAGGAGTCGTGAGATCATCCTAGAACAGACTTCTTCATAATTCCTCTGAACTTCTCTTGTTCAGCTTAGTCGCAGATGTCCTGAGCATTCTGGACTCTGCTGCTCTCGGAACCAACTCACAGCATTCTCTCAGCGTTCTCCTCAGTTCTTCCCAGAACTGCCGAGAACTTCTCAGAACTTCAGAACTTCCTCCAGCATCCTGAATTCCAGCATTCTGAACTCTGGAACTGCTCTCAGAACCGCAGAACTTCCGTGAACTAGGAAGTGTTGCACCTTTTAAAAGAGCTCACTTCCGGTTCATTTGAGAACTTTCTGATTGGTCGATGGACGAAAACAGAGGTGTGTTTTGTGATGTAAGAGGTTATTAAAAGTCAAGGAAAAAGATTAAGATTGTTTAAGAACAGACAGAAGATATTATGAAGAACTCAGACTTCGTGGAGTCAATTCTCTAGTATCTTGCTGTAAAAGTTAAACATGACATTTCTTTTTCAGTAAACTTGCAGTTGACCGAAACTTGACCTTTGACCAACTTACACAACTTGCTCATTGAAGACAGAAAATCAGACAATGCATTATTAACCTGATTTCTACTTTGAATGAGGATTAAAAATCACTAATACTGTTTCACAGTTGATTTAAATGAGTAGTTCACTTCAACATTTAAAAATGGTTTGAACTAAACACAATTTGATTATCAAAACATTTGTAAAATAGTAATGATAATAGAAAGTAGTGTTCTTTCACTTGATCAATTCAAGAAAGAAAGTCTCAGGATGGGTCAACCTGTATTTCTGGATTCAAATCAATGAAATGACAGTTTCTGTCCCATAAGGTCCTTAAGGTCAGGATTTGACCTCAGGCCTAGTTCACTACAGTCCCCCCTTTGGAAATCATCGCCTGTCCATGGGGATGAATTCCAACATGAACTTACGCCTTCGAATGTCCTTGAGCTTGATGTAATCCAGCAAGGAAAACAAAAGTCAAAGGATGTAATCCACAACGTTTTTGGTAATTCCATTGTGTTGATGGTAATTCCATAATGTTGTTGGTAATTCCATTGTAGCAATGCTTTAACCCCTTGGAAACAGAGTCTGTAATCCATTGGAAAAAGTCATATAATCCACAACGGTAAATCCACAACGATTGGAA